ATCACTTAAATATGAGCCAGCAGTGTGCGGCAGCTGCCAAAAAGGCCAACACAGTACTAGGCTGCATTAACAGAGGGATAGAATCAAGATCACGCGAAATATTAATACCACTCTTCAATGCCTTGGTAAGGCCACACTTGGAATACTGCATCCAGTTTTGGTCACCACGATGTAAAAAAGATGTTGAGACTCTAGAAAGAGTACAGAGAAGAGCAACAAAGATGATTAGGGGACTGGAGGCTAAAACATATAAGGAACGGTTGCGAGAATTGGGTATGTCTAGTTTAACGAAGAGAAGGACAAGGGGGGACATGATAGCAGTATTCCAATATCTCAGGGGCTGCCATAAAGAAGAGGGAATTAAGCTATTTTCCAAAGCACCTGAAGGCAGGACAAGAAGCAACGGGTGGAAACTAATCAAGGAGAGAAGCAACCTAGAACTAAGGAGAAACTTCCTGACAGTGAGAACAATTAATCAGTGGAACAGCTTGCCTCCAGAAGCAGTAAATGCTCCAACACTGGAGGTTTTTAAGAAGAGACTGGACAACCATTTGTCCGAAATGGTGTAGGGTTTCCTGCTCGAGCAGGGGGTTGGACTAGATGACCTCCAAGGTCCCTTCCAACTTTACTATTATTATTATTATTATTATTATCTTTTAGGAAAGATCTATCCAGTATTTCGCTGCAGTCTGTTAAAGCCTTTTAGGAGTCGACTCTGAAATCCCCTCCCAAGAAAACACCTGGCTCCCTTTTGGCTGGAGAGACTCATTACAAAGTAAAGTATATTCTTGATGCTAGATTATACAAGGGAAAATATTTAGTGCAGTGGAAGGGATATCCATTGTCAGAATCCATCTGGGTGAAAAGTATGGATGTGAAAGCTGACAGACTGATATGCAAATTCTGTGATAAACATCCAAGTAAACCGAGAGGGGATTCTTAACTGTTATTTTTGTTTGATTTGCAGGGCTTCCCCTTTCTGTTAAGGGGAGTTGAATGTTAATGCCATGACAAATCAAACTGAAGCCATTTTCATTTTGTCTTCATTGCCACATATTTAGTTAGAAGGAGGGGGCTTGTGTAGTTTCACATGTATGTCACATGTATGGGAACCAGAGTAATTGATGATAACATTTTGGCGGGCTGGAGCAACTGGGAGGAGCGCCCACATTTTCAAACAATTGGTGAATGTGATTTATGACAGCAGTTTATGGTGGGAAATGAAACTTGCAACTTTGTAACCCCGGGGAGGGGAATTTAGTCTTGGATTCAGCCTTGTATGTGCCGTTATGTTGTAGCCAAATAAAAATGTTCTTTAAGGAAGAAATACTTGAAGTTCTTTTAAATGGTCTCATCTACCGGAACCATGACACAGGAACACAATCTATTAGTCTCCAGTCAGAATTGGAGACCATGCTCTGGTTCATTGAGTTAAATAAGCTGGTCTAGAAGGTTTCAGAAGTGACACATAAATCTCATTGATTGGACTAGTGCTGTCAAAAGCCCAGCTAAATCATTGTAGCCATAGAATTCATAGAAGTAGAATGCTGGAAGAGGTTTTTACAGGAATAAGAAAATAAACATCCTTAGTTCAAAGTTAAAGACTATGACAAAGTGGAGCAGGTGTTGGCAAGTAGCAGGCATTGGAGGAAAATCAATTCATTCGATTACTGTATCAACAGCCTTGCTGAGTTGTTGCGATAGTATACTTAGACTTCAGCAAGGTATTTGACAAAGTAGATCACAACCTACTTCCTGGTAAGCTAGAAAAAAGTGAGATAGATAGCATCACTATCAGATGGATTTGTAATGGCTGACAAACGGTACAATAAAAAAAGTTTTTTTCAACATATTAATAACAAAAAAAGTCAAGGAAATTGAAGGTCCATTAAAGAGAGAAGATGGCAAGGAAGTAACAGGCAGTAGGGGGAAAGCAGAGCTGCTTAACTCATTTTCTGCATCAGTCATCACTTCTGCTTGAGCAGGGAGCTGGACTAGAAGACCTCCAAGATCCCTTCCAGATTCTATTCTACTCAACTCTACTCCTCTCCTCTCGTTGTTGTTAGTTGCAAAGTCGTGTCCGATCCATCATGACCCCATGGACAACGTTCCTCCAGGCCTTCCTGTCCTCTACCATCTTCTATGAGTGTCATTAACTTAGATGAGGGTATTATCAAATTTGCAGATGATACTAAATGGCAGGAATAGCCAACACCCTAGATGATGGGCTCAAGATCCAGATGGATCTTGACAGACTTCAACACTGGGCCCTATCTAACAAAATGAAATTCAGCGTAGAGAAAAGTAAAGTCTTATAGTTATTCAAGAAAAACCAAAGTACACATACAGATTGGATGAAACCAGGCTTAATAACAGTTACTATGAGAGAGAGTCTTAGTGGACAATTAAATATGAGCCAACAGTGTGTGGCAGCAGCCAAAAAAGCCAATGCAATCCTAAATTGCATTAATTCAAGGATTAAATCAAGATCACGTGAGATACTAATACCACTTTATAAAGCCTTAGTAAGACCACACCTAGAATACTGCAACCAGTTTTGGTCACCACACTATAAAAATTAGTAGAATGTAATACTGCAGGCTATTTCTGCTGACTGCCGGGTGCCAGTAGTTCAGCAGTTCAATTCTCATCAATTCAAGGTTGATTCAGCCTTTTAAGGCAGGGCATCAGCATCATGTATGAGGAAAGTCTTGGTTGACTGCAGTGAATAAAAGTGATAATATATTTTATAAAAGAGCTGGTTTGCTCTAGTGCAGGGGTGTCAAACTATCGGCCTGCGGGCCGCATGTGTCATAGTGAAACTGTGTCCACCCCATTGCCGGCAATGGCAAAAAAGTCATGATATGTCACATGTCACGTGACGTGAGTTTGACACTCCTGCTCTAGTGGTTAATCTATGTTCTACTTATAAGCTGCCTTGATAATGTGTATTTTAAAGGTTGGCATACAGATATCAGTAATTCTGTCAGAAAAAGAAATACAGTGGTATCTTGATACTCATTGTTAATTGGTTCTGGGAAGCACAATAAGTACCAAAAACTATGTATCAAACAATTTTTTTCCATAAGGAATAATGTATTGAGTCATGGCAGCCAACATCGACAAGTTCTAGCTTTTGTATTGAATACCAAATTCAATGAGTTTCAAAAAAACTGAGTACCAAGATACTTCTATGCTAGAATTAGATAGATATATTACGCTATGATGAATTAAGGTTGGGGGAAAGGAACAAAAAAAAATTATTTCATGAAAAATTTTCATGAATTTTTCTCCTTGTGGATTAATTTTAAGGCAAGATGGTTAAACTATACTTCAAAGGTATGGTATGATTTTTTGTATTTATGGAAATATATAAAATAAGAGAATAGACTTTAAAACAATATATTTGTGACATTTAAATTTGAGGTACATTTTTTCTTGCAGAGATTACTGTCTTATTCGACAGAGAATTTTAAGCAATTTTGTTTTGGATTTGTTGCTTTTCATTTTCTGCTGTACTTTGGAAAGTATTTCATCTGGGAATGTGGGAAACTCTAACATAAGGAAGAGCAATTAGTAGCTCTATGTATTGTTTTCACACAGCCACAATCCAATTTCTGTATCAAAATCTTCACTGTTATTCCAATTTTGTCCATTTTTCATTTCTTTAAGAGTTATTGTCACCAATATCAGAGGACACCCAGAGAAAACAAGACTTGATAATGTAAGAATATTTGTATTTGAACAAACATATAATTAATCTATACCCTATTACTGTAAGGACCCACTCCACTTTGCATCTTAAGAAGACAGAACTCTTGGAAATATAATTGGATTCTGACATCTACATTATAAATAGTAATTTTTCCCTTCAACGAAAAAGGGGTTTTATCCAAAGGTCGTTTACATTGAAGGAGAAATTGTCTTTTAAAATATTCCATTTTTTTTCTCATTTCACATGGCTTTCAAATAAATATATACATATTTCTACAGCTTTGGGATATGTTGTAACTTACCAGATATTACCTCTTTCATGAGCACCAGTACTCAACAGAATTCTTCCTAATATTAACACTACAACTTTTAAGCCATTCTTCATAAGCTTTCTTTCTCTTTTATTCAAAACAAAAGCATTTTTATGTAAATCCACTTCAGAGCTGTATTACAGGGTATGCTTTATTGCTGAGAAAACCTATAATGGAATGTTTATTATGTCATAAATAAAATAATAAAAATTTAAATACAAGTAAAACAATAACAGGAAATATACTTAACCTGATAAGTATTGCACGTATCTTATGATAACAATATTAACTTTTCATTCCTAACTCCCTAGTAAAAGCAAAAGAAAAAAAAATAAAGGCTTCAAATTTTGTAAAGATTTTATATCTCTTTAAGTCTTTCCACACGGAACCTTCATAGAAATCTATTACTAGAACTATCATTTTCTGTACATTACTATTCCCTTTGGATTAACAAAAGTGTAAACTGGGATCTGAAATGTTCAGTTTATTGAGTATATTTTACTCAATACTGTATATCTTACCGTAACAATATTAACATTAATTTTAAATATAAGCTATCCTAGGATAAAGGGTTACAATTCAGTCTTTCCTTTAAAAAAAAAAATCACAGGAGTATAAACAGTGTAATTGCCACATGGTGTGTTTCCATTTGTGAGTGAACAGGACTCTTTATTTGTATTCCTCGTATCTGTGCAGTGCAAAAAGTTTAAATTAAACATTTTGCATTTCATCAAACATCATATGTTGTCTGTCCTATGGGGATAAATACAGTTTTTTTTCCTTTAAAGCCATTAGATTCTCTTCTGGTATGTACCTCAGCAATTTACTCCAATTTTCTTTTCAATACTGAACTAAAGACTTATTGGTGATTCTAGTTAGACTTCTTTCTAAGTGGGTAATAATCAGCCAGAATCCAGTATTTGGATGGAACTTTAATGCCCAAATACTAGAATGGGCAGCACGGCACAATCATCTCACTTTCATCCTTGGGATCGTTATTCGCACACCACAACAGTCTCCTACAGATGGAAGGCAGGAAACAGAAATGGAGTTTTGCTTGTAGTAGATGATAAAGCAGATATTCAACATCTCACCCACTGATTTCATATATCAATAAAATCTTACGCACTAATATTTTCCCAGATAAAAAGTAAAAGAAGTAGGGGTGCGGAGAGAAAAAAGACACAAAAAACCCCACCATCTCTAAAGTTCTCCGTTTTTATCTCATCAACTCTCACCAGTATTATTTCTGTAAAAGAAAATCCTCTCCTCGTATTATTTAACATCAGAATCACTTCCGACCCAATGTTTTTAGCGTTAGGCATTCTCAGAAGGCCAGGTTGCCTACCTCGCAAGCATGTGAGGAAAAAATGAACGCTTTTCCTGACCCCGAAAGGGCGGGCTCCCACATGTGACAAAATAATGAGAAAGCTGTACTGTATATGTAAGCTTTATTGTGAATTATGATTATCATCTGACCAGCAAAAAGTGTACCAAGGATTACTGGAGGCAAACGCATTCGCTGACACGCCCAACACCGCCATCCACCGCCATTACCGTCGTCCGTGTCCTTGGTCGCGCCTGAGGTCGGGGAAGAGGTGACAGAACCTCCCGCGCTCGGTGCCTTCTCGCTGGCTGGAAAGTTCGAAGTGAAACGAGTCGCATCAGCGAAGAGGAGGGGGCGGCGGTCTTCAACAAGCCTAACAACAATCCCTGCTCCTATAGCAACAGAAAACATTCCGCCGCACGCTGCCGCCACTGTTCACTAGCTTCTCGCTGGCTGTTGCTCTGGAGCGCGCGGAGAGAAAAATGCGGAGATTAGAGAGAGGCGGCCCTAATTGCCTCCCTTCAGCCAATCGAAAGGGAGACCAACGCCGGTGATTGCTGGCTGCTTGACCAAAGAAGCGGTGGTGGGTGCTTATCAGCCCCGCGAGGTGAGGCATGTTGTCCTTCCTCCCTCCCCTCAGACCACTGTATGGAGGTCAAGGTTCATTGAGTTGCCCTCTCTTGGCTCTTTAGCATAACTCTAATTTTACAATCTTTTTTTTCCTAAGCGCTTAAAGCAGGGGTGTCAAACTCAATTTCATTGAGGGCTGCATCAGCATTGGTTGCCCTGCAGGGGGCTGCTGGGTGTGGCCAGGATAGGCAAGGCCTACTGGCTGGGCTGGTCACCTACCTCTACATTGTTTGTGTCAAGGGTGCCTCTGGGGGCCTGGGCGGGAATGGAACAGATCTGAGGATTTCTGGCAGAAGGGAGTGGGACTGGGGCAAATGCCAAGGCATGGTCCATTGGAGGACCCTCACTGTTCCTATCAGACCATGGGGAGGGCTGGATGGTGCTGCGGGCTGCTCAGAGCCCTGGGCAGCAGAGGTGAAATGCCCAGCCCAGCCCTTGAGCACCCATGACACCAAGCCCAGCCCCACTTCCCTAAGGGGGCGTCCCACTGCACTTACCTCCTCCTGAAGGCTGCTACTGCTGTGCTTGCTCTACTTAGCCAGGTTGCTCATGATGGGTATTAGGGAGGCCCATTCCCTCTCCATGGGAGGAGACCCAGCTTTGTGTCCAAAGCTTCCTTAGTAATAGGATGGCAGACCCCCAGGATAGGTCAGAAGGAGGGGTGAAAGGACAGCAGGGCAGGACTAAGGCAGCATGTCCCTCAGACCCTCCCTTTCCTTCCTTCCCTCCCTCCTTCTTTCCTCCCTCCCTTTCTTCCTAAGAACAAAGTGGTGGGAAAATATTTGAGCTGGAGAGGTGTCACCCTTCGTTAGTAATGAAGAAATACACCATCACCTGGAAGCGGCCAGCACATGGTCCTCATCTACTTCACATATCTGACTTGGTGGGCTCTGGAAGAATGGGACGCCATGAGCAGTGTGAAAATCAATGTTACCTGCGCAATGCCACCCAGCCCCCAGTCTGCCCGGTTTTGGCAAACAGCGAGGTGCTCTCCTCACAGTGTCAAGAGGCTGAGCCAGGAGGCGCGAATCCAAAGAGAAGTGCGATGCCACCCAGCCCCCAGCCTGTCCGGTTTCGGCAGGCAGCGGGGTGCTCTCCTCACAGCTCCAAGAGGCTTTCAGTTCACAAATCCAAAAAGAAGCACGACGCCACCCAGCCCCCTGCCTGCCCAGTTTCAGCAGGCAGCGGGGTGCTCTCCTCACAGCATTAAGAGGCTGAGCTAGGCGGCATGAATCCGAAGAGAAGAACGACACCACCCAGCCCATAGCCTGCCCAGTTTTGGCAGGCAGCGGGGTGCTCTCCTCATAGTGCCGAGAAGCTGAGCTGGGCGGCATGAATCTGAAGAGAAGTGTGATGCCGCCCAGCCCCCAGCCTGCCCGGTTTCAGCAGGCAGTGGGGTGCTCTCCTCACAGCACTGAGAAGTTGAGCCGGGCAGTGCAAAGCTCGCCAGCTTTGCATCTTGCTGCCTGCTGAAACCAGGCAGGCTGGGAGCTAGGCAGCATTGCACTTATCATCAGATTCGTGCCACCTGACTCAATTCTTGGCGTGTGAGGAGACCGCCCTGCTGCCTGCCAAAACTGGGCAGGCTGGGTGGCATCATACTTTTTGGATTCACATCGCCCAGCTTAGCCTCTCATTGCTGTGAGGAGAGCGCCCCCCCTGCCTGCCGGAACCCTTCCCCCAGTACCCCTCAAACCAGATATGTGAAATATTTGCTGGTCACTTCCAGGCGATGGTGCATATCTTCATTCTTCATGAAGGGTGACACCTCCCCAGCACACACCCAGGCCAGTCCCTCACTGTTTCCAGACGGCCTTGTAGAGCTAAGACTGAATGCATTTCACCACAAAATTGTACATTGGCTCCCGGACAGCCTGGGCTGGGGCCAAAGCAGTGGGGGCCGTTCCCTCACTGTTTCCAGGATGGTTTCACAAGCCACATGAAACCACTTTGCAGGCCAGATGCGGCCCGTGGGCCTTGCGTTTGACATGTCTGGCTTAAAAGTTTTTAGCATTTGGAGGCAAGGGAGGAATGGCTGGAACTCTAGATTAAGTATGATATCACTTATAACAGTTGCTGGATTCTTTGACCGCTTTTGCAGCCTTATCTTAGGGTTGCTGCCAAACTAAACAGATGGCCCTAATCCTTGCCTTTACAGCAAGAGAGACTGGCAGAGATGTGTGTTTGTGTGTGTAAAATAATAAAAAAAATGTGTTAATGTACACATTATTGTCTCCCAGATATTATTTTACTGACCTCAGAAGGATGAAAGGCTGAGTCAATCTTGTACCTAGCTTCTGGAGTGATACTATTACAAATGTTGCAATGATAGAAGTTCAAAGAATGGATTTAAATAAATTATTTCCAAAATTATCTAAGATAACTTTTAAATGCTTCTTTAATAGGTGGAGCATACCAATATTTGGACCAGTGAGCGTACTATACAATTTCATTTCCCATCTTTTGATTATGGAGAGTGGTTAAACCTTTCATCTTACTTTATTCTTCCTCCCATTGTGAAATATTTCACTTAATTTGATTGTAAATTAGAAAATCCCACCGAAGTGATGAAAATGAATTTCTTTGCTGTAGAGATGGAACTAATGCTAACAGCCTCTTGGACAAATTGCTTCTTAATTCATGTGTCATTCTCACTGACATTTTTAAAAGCCATCTTGACTGGAGGAAAAATCTGATGATTGTCATGTAGGGTATTGTATTGATGGGAACAAGAGGTGGGTCCTCAATGAGTAATTGTAGTAATAAGGAGTGCCTTTGATTAATATGTCTAGTTTCTTTGAAAGAATATTAAATTCTAATAAGAACTGGTTGGAAGTTATATGAAACTTTGATAAGAACAAGTTGAAAGCAGCCAAAGATAGAAATTACCCAGAAATTTACTGAAAACTTTAATAATCTGAAAACTCCTTATGCTGAAAACCTAACCCTTGAATATTCAATTAGTCATTAATAAGATCATGCTAAGAATATTATGGAATGTTATGTATTGTTACATAGAAATTGTACTGTTGCTAGGCATGCTTTTAGATGCTTTATGACTCAAATTATGCTAGACAATGAGAGAACACATTCCAAACCTAATATGGTTGAACTTTATATAAAGTGATTATTCCCCCATTTCTCACCTTGTACCTGTGGGAGACATATCTTCCTATAAGACTTATTCCAACTCAAAGCAGGGGGCAGAGCAGCCTTCAAAAATCAAAATAAAGACTAAATATTATCTTACTGAACCACTGTTATCATGGACAGATCACAATATATACAAAGTGCAAAAGAATTATTAGAAGAGAAAGAAATTAAATCCCAGTGAACAACAATCCAATACAAAAAATAAACAAGATCAAGAGAGCTCTCAGTGATCTTACCAAGAAAGATCAAATCATTAAAGAAGACCAATGGTGAATGAAATATAGTAGATTCATCCTCCCAGAATTGACAAAAAACTTGGATACCTCACAGTGGAAACAAATACTTCATCAACACTACAGTGCCTCCAAAGAATCAAAGAAATGATGATTTCATTTAATGTCACATTTTATATCCCTAAACCCAGAATTAGCCAAAGAATCCATGACAGCACTACATCACAGCACATGCGACCTAATCAAGTATACTAAGTTTGAAATACTCAGAATCATAGATCTTATCAACATTTGCCTAACCACCTACTTTTAGTTCAATGTACAAATATATCAAAAAATCAAATGACCACCCATGGAATCACTGCATTGAGGACTAATAGCAGAGACTGTACTGCAGTGCCTAGAATCCAAAGCACTCCCATACATACAGCCCAAAGTATGGATCGTGTATGTAGATGACATCTTTCTCATAATACAAAGGACCAAATAAAGAACACACATGAAACCATCAACAACATTTTCAAAGGAATAAAATTCACAAGGGAAGAAGGAAACCATAAGACACTATCTTTCCTGGATATCTTTATCAGCCAAGGCAATGAAGGCAAGTTAAAAACACAGGTCTAATGTAAAACCACCCCTCCAGCCAAGTGCTCCATTACCAAAGTAACAACCCAATGTCCTACAAAAAAAGCTGTGCAAAAATACTGTTTAGATGAGCAGAAACACACTGCAGCAATATCAGAAAAAGGAAACAGATTGTCTATACAGCATCTTCCAACAAAATGGATATCCATGCAACTTCAACAAAAGATGCTTGGCCACTCAACCCAATAGAGCATAATAAACACAAGCTCTGAAAAGAATATCATTGTCACACATCAAAGACATTGCAAAAATCATCAACAGACTATTACAACCACATAGCACCATCATAGCACACAAACCAATTAAAGCCCTCCAAAGCACTCTAAGTAAATAAAAAGATTCAGAAAACTTAGAAGAAAAAACAGGAGTCATCTATAATATACAGTGTAAGGACTGTAGCAACTACTGTGTAGGACAGGGGTAGGCAACCCAAAACACTCAAAGAGCCACTTGGACCCGTTTCCCACCAAAAACAAAACACTGGGAGCCGCAAAACCCTTTTGATATCTAAAATGAAGATAACACTGCATATATCCTTTCTAACCTTTATTATAGGTGTGTGTATGTGTGTGTGTGTATGTGTATATGTATATATATATACACACACACACACACACACACACACACACATATACACATTAAAAATAAAAGTAAAAATATGACTCTTGGGAATATCCATACTATTAAAACAATGATCACCAAGAGAATGCTTTAAGAGAATAAAATTACATACACACACAGGTAAAAAAAGGATATATGCAGTGTTATCTTCATTTTAGATGTCAAAAGGGTCTCTCTCTCTCCCTCCCTCTCTATCTGCCCTTGGTCTGCCACTCCTCTTCCCCCACTCTCTCTCTCCCTCTCTCTCTCTTTCTCTCTCTCTCTTTCTCCCCCCCCCTCCTATCTGCTGCTCACCTGGCAAGCTTCAAGCTGTTGTCCAACA